TTTCTGCCATTTTGGTTCATCTCCAGATGTTTTCTCAAATATTTCACTACTACTACTACTACAACAACACCAAACATTCTTATCATTATAACATTTGGGATTAACTATCACTTTTTTCGCTCTCTCCCTCTCCCTCTCTCTCTCTGTCCCTCTTTCTCTCTTTCACAATTGCTATAAAATAATAAGTTATAGAGAAATTTCTTCAATGATCTCTTTATCGCCTTTTATTGGTAATTTGATGTGATAATTTTCTTCAACTACAGTAATAACTCGCATTTTTGTTTTATTAATTTATATTCAAAAATTCCAAAATATCCACTTTTCTAAAAAAAAAAAAAGAATTATTTTCATATATTTAAAAACTAAAAAAAATAATAACAAAAAAACATAATAAGCAATTATTTTAATTTCTGACATTAATTGCTATAGTACTAATTATAATTATCTACCATTACTCATCATTTGTAATTGTTATTAAATGTTGGTTATCATAATTATGTGAATTTACTTAAAATAATTCAAATATTGAAAAACAGAGATTTTAGGATGTTTTTAATTCTTGATTTTAGGATGTTTTTAATTCTATTTTTACTTAAAGACATTTAAAGTTATTTTATAATTTTGTATTTTTGTTACTTTAATTAATCAAATAATTTCCATTTATCCAATAACAACAAAGTTGCAAACTAAGTTCTTATTCAGCAGTACCATTTCGAAATTACCTGTATTACATTGGGTATCCTAATGAAAAAAAGTACCATCAAAAAACATAACGAGATATTTTCAATATTCAATAAGCTAATTAATTATTCCTTTCATCAGAGTATTAACCAATATATTTTTTTTTTACCGTCAACTTTAAGCTTCACAATTTTAATAATTTATAACAAAATTACATGACAAATAGTAAAATATGAAAAATTCATCACGAAATATTTTATATCTTTACATTGCTACTTAAAAAAAATTTCAACTCACTAATAATTTTTGATCTCAAAAAATTTACTTTTCATAAATCTTTTATGCGTTGCCATCATTTTTCTTTAATACAATAGTTAATCAATTATTCCTTTCATCAAAGTATTAATCAATTTTTTTTTCATTTACTGACATAATAAAATACAGAAGTTTAAAGAAAAAGAAAGGAACTCAAATCTGTTTTCTATTACTATAATTCTTATGGAATTAAAAAAAAATACATATATTGCATTTTTATTATGACAATAATTACTGGTATATTTGAAGTTTTAAAAAGCAAAAACTGGATGAAAAATTATTATGATTGCTTCAAGAGAGTAACTAGTAATTTTTATTTGTTTTAGCATACTATCTTAAATTTTCTTCATTTTTCTTCGGAAGCTTTCGACAGTAAATCTTTTAAAATATATAAAGCTACTTTCAATTGAAATTCATTTTTCAATTTGTTCATCATTATTTACTTATATGATAATTACCTCTCTTTTTTTATCTCCCTTTCTTTCTTTCTCTCTCCTTTATTCACTTTTAAGAGTGTACTCTTTTTTAAATAATATATCATATATATTTTTAAATTGTTTATGTACATACATTCGTTCTTATATTGCAACAAAATATTTGCAAAAGAAATACATTTGCAGCGTTTTATTATTATAATAATGAATATATTTTAAAAAATGTAGTTCAATTAATTGAAATTCTAAGGAAATTTCATTTCATCCTTTGAATCGATGATATTTTTGATATTATTTGTTTTTTATTATTTATTAATTTTTAATTAATTCTTATTTTCTTCCTTTTTCTTAATTTTTCATATTTTTAAAATAATTCATTGTGAAATACTAATAAAAGGAAGATAATTTTTTAATTCTCTGTGTTTTGTGAGCACAAATTAATTACTTTTTTTTCTTGGTAAATACTTGGTAACTTAGCTTTCAACTTTTTTCTTTATATTAAAATTCAAGACGAATTTAAGACTGCTGTATGGAAGAAGTAAGTGAAATTGTTTTTTTTTAGAAAATGAAATTTGTATAAGTTTACTAAAATCAATATATTCTGATCACTTATGATCCATATCAATCAATTTATTTCAATATTGCTTAATTATGAGACTTTTAATCTGCTGGAATTTGATGATTACGAAAGAATGTTTAAATAATTTCAAATTAATATAACTACAAATGATTTCTGAAAAAAAAAAGTTTCAATAACATTTAATTAATAAAAAGTAATCAGACATTCCATACTGATATCTGACAAATAAAATAAAGAAAAAAGAAATTTGTATTGGCATTAAAATTGAAATCTTTTTCATAAATATTCGATAAATCGATGATTTTTTTAAAAGACTTACCAACGTTTCATAAACAGTAAATAGATGACATTTAAATGAAATGAAAGGAAAATTTTTTATATTTTTAAATAACGAAAGAAAGCAAAAAAACTATTTTTTTGAATTTTTTTCCTATTTTATTAATTTTCAGTCACTACTTTTTATTCAGCATAATGAAAGATGAAAAAGAATTAAAAAGAAATTTCGAGAAAATTTTCAGTTTATTCCAATGCAACATTTTGTTAATTTATGCTTATAAGAAATTAAAATTCCACTAAATTATAACGGTGTAATTTTCAAATTATTTGATTATTTTAACATTCACAAATCGATAAATTAATTCATTTAGCACTTTTTAATTTCAGCTTTTTCTTCCTAAAAATATAAATTGGATTTGCTTCACTACAGTAATTTAATTTATTTCATTATGATTATAAATTAGATTTATTATTATTATTATCCGCCTACTACTAATTATTAGTATGTTTATTGTCATTAATATAGTCGCCATTGCCTATCACTTATTATTATTATTTAGCATTACATATGCCAGATATTACGTTTCAACGAAATTAACAAAAGCTTTTAACAGCTTTCACACTTTTGATCAAATTGCCTATAAGATTATTACCATTGTTATTATTAATTAAGGTTAATACCATTATTATTGTTACAAATTGTCCATAAGATATTATCATTATTCTAATCTAATATGCCATATTATTAATATGCAAATACATATAAAATATTGATTAATTTATGAAATTATTGAAATAATTCTATTTATGCGATAGGCATACTCACGTGTAAATATTCACATTTGACTAAAGAAATATTTAATGTTAAAAGCAATCAAATTTTTGAACTGTTTCTGTGATAATATCTGTTGCACAATAATTAATAAAATACAATAACACATAAGAAAGTAAAATTTTCAAATCTGAATAAATCTTTTTCATACCAGTGATTTTTATTAAAATAATATTATATTTGGTAAAATTTTTTTTCACAAGAAATCCTAATTTTAAATTTAAATTAATAGATGGATCATTGATTGAGGTTGATAATAATAGTTGGTATCAATTGATCCTCTTTTCTTTTCTGGATATGTCAAAATTGAGGGCGACTATATGACGCCATTTTAATGTGAAGCAAACGTGAAATAAAATGATTTTAGATTTGAATGAAAATGAATGTACAATTTTTTCCTCCTTTTTTTCTTCCAAATTTTGAATTTCATATATTAATTTCACAACTTACATTTTTATATTTTAATTTTAATCTTAATTTAAAATGATAAATTAGCTGAAATTAAATGTTAGCATATTTCAATCGTTAAAATTTGTTGAAAAATTTTACTAAATTGTAACTTAGTATGTAAAGTTGTTAACAAGAAAAAAAATGATGCAGAAGTAATGATCAAATATTTACTCAATCGGATTGCTTAACAACTAAAGTTGATTTAATAATGTCAGCCACATATTTGAAATTCATTTTCCCATCTTTTTTATTCCTTTAAAAATAGAAAAGAATTCAATTTAGAAATAATATATATTTTTTTTCTTTGTACTTCATTTCTTTCTTTAGCCAATTCTTTTTCAATCATTCAGAATTATAAATAATTTATATGAAAGACGGAAAAAAAACGAACAGAAAAACCAAAAGAAAAAGCATTTAAACAAATTTTGAATAAAAAAATACTAAAAAACGGAAAAGATTTTGATTAAAAATTAAAATTTATTGAGTAAAAAAAATTTTTTTTCTTTAAAATATTACGAATGAAAGCAATAAATAAAAAATAATCGAATTTTCCAGGTTGTTTAGTGCTACTCACTTTTTTTAATTCATTACTAATCAATTTTTTTTTCTTCTAACTCTTAACTTATAGCTAGTTAACCTGATTAAATCTACTGAAAAAATCAGAACAACGGTTTAATTCTATTATATCTGTAAAATTGTTATCTTTGATACTGAAATTGACTGAAAAGAAATGAGTAGAAAAAAGATTCGGAAATTTCTGAAAATTAAAAATAAATGAATCATAATTGTTCTTATATGATTATAAGAAAGGATTTTTGAGCAATAAAGGTAAAAAAAAATGAATTTTGCTAAATTATCCTACAAAAAAAGGAAAAAACCATTTTTGTTGCAAAAAATGAGAAATATCAATATTCATTTGAACAAATACAGATTTCAATGAAAAATGACTAAAGTTGAAAAATTTGAAAAATTTTTAAAAATTGCTGTTTTTTTTTTATACATGTCACTTTATATTTATATTTGATGACACTAAGGAATACTAACCATTAATGTTAGATTTTTAGATTTGTTAAAATGATCAAAGAATGAAATGCGAAAGAAATTCTCTAAACTATTTGCTCTTTCATTATTATAAACATTGTATAAAACTAAATTATTGTTTTCTTTTTTTTAAGTTCTTTTTAATTTTCTTCAATTATGAATCATTTCAGGGTGTATGTTTCATTTTGTTTGCGATAAAAGCATACGTTGCACAACCTCACTTCATTTATTTGCAATGAGCAATTGAATCACTGTCACTTATCACTGATAAGATAATGATGATTTGTTAAGAAAGAATATTTCCGCTATAACCAATCGAACGATTCATATTATAATGGAATATTTTCGTTATTTGTTAAAAATTTCTTTCAACCGTTCACTATTATCATTGATGATAATCATATGTATTATCATCTTATCATCACCATCAATAACATTTGTACAGGTTTATCAATTTGTTTATTATTTGTGCCTTTCTTTCCTTTTGTAACTAAAATTCAATCTAATTACTTTTTTTACTTACTTAAAATTTTTCAACTTATTTTAATTTTGAACTTAATTTAATTTAATTTAACATTTACTGTAGTTAAAACCAGCAATTATGATACACTTTTCATTATTATGAATGATAAGCAAATATACGAGTTATTATTTCACTTATTTATTTGCTATCATTGATAATATTTGACTTTTTTTAATTTAATGACATGATATGATTAGGCGTTAGACACGTCCGTTCGTGCTATCCAATTACGTCTATAATTGTTGAATAAATTTCGTTCAGTCATTCATGTGACGTTTAAATTGCTGCGTATTTTAACTTTCATCATATTTAATGATGAAATGAAATTGAAGAAAATAATGTTAAAATTGCGTTCTAAAATCAAGATTTGAACATTTTTATTAGTTTATACGACAAAAAGAAATGAGCCAAAAAAGCGGCGCTTATTGCACCGACTATTGACGATAGCTAAATTTAAAAATTTGAATATTCTAACGTCTGAATGACATGTCATAATAGATTATTATATTTAAATCCGATAAAAAGAAGTAATTTTAGTAAGCATCTGCAAAAAAAAAAAAAACGAATAACTTAAATAATTTAAATGCAAACTAAATATTTACAATAGGGTTTTAAAACATTTTCCAACTACTTTCAAATTAAAATCCCATTAATAATTTTATTATCAACAAATTATAGTATTTCGCATGATAACAATTCTTTTATTTTATTTTTTATCTTTTATAAATGATTGAGGGAAGCTAATATAATTTGAAGGGAAATGATAAAACAGTGATAACGTTAAAAGATTTAACCGAAGCAGTTATCGAACGAAGTTGTTTATGCGAACAAAATGTTAAAAATTTCAAAAAAAGCGATGACTATTTGCTATTATTGTTGAAAATTTCATCAGTTCGAATTGTAAGCACATTACAAAATATTGCTCATCATGTCAACGGTTAGTTAACATGTTACATTTTTTAAATTTAAATGATAATTTTTAGGTCATTGTTTGATAATAAATGATAACACGAATGTTATTGTCATTTATCATATTTATTTTTACATAATATATCATAATAGTTAAATTATAATATTTATTTTCAACACATACAGTGACAAACATATGACACAGTCATTTAAATGCATAAATTTTCGATTAAATATTTATTAATAATATATAATCATTATTGTGATAATAATATGCATATTGCATGCATGCATAGAACATTATGACAATAATTATTTTGACAATTTGCGTACTATATGCGTGTACAAAAAAGACATATAGTTAAAATTAAGTTAATTATTAGAATGTAATAGTGTTTTTTTTTCCTTTTTTTGCAATCATTCATTGAATACGAAATAATATTAATTTTTAACAACATTTACAATGACAGACATATGACACAAAATCTTTAAATGCATAATTAGGTTTTAATTTTGTTAGTTTAAAAAGTTGAATTTTTAGCAGAAATTACTTATCTCATTGAATTAAGTCGGTGGAAGTTATTTGAAGAAATGTCAAAATATTTTCCACGACTATTTGGTCAATCATCTGTAATCGATTCTTTCGATGCCCTTATTGATAATATTCGTAATCAGCTTTTCATCACCACGGTTTGTTTGATAAACTTAGATATAATATACTAAAAAAGTAATCACTTTTTCAATTCTGATATTATCTGTGTTAAAAGCTTTTCAATTAATTGGTTAATAAACGAATCAATCAATCGATCAGTACAGCATATTCTTATCTCACTCGAAATGTAACTGATATACCATTTTTTGTTTTGCTAATGGAGCATAATATCTAAAACAAAAAAATTATGAAAAATTATTTCAGTTTATCCAATTAACTAATAAAGCAATTACCACTGTCTGAATATTATTATAAAATTTTAAATTTAACAAAATTTTATAACTTATTTCGATGTTTTTTAAAGGATATTTCACCACAACAAATAAAGAATGAAATTGAAAAAATGGTACAAAAATTCTTCATTCAACTTATTCCGCCAACGTTTCTTTGCATAACAACAGGTCCATGTAAATCAGTATCACAGTCATATGCCAACTGCTTGCAAAATAATTCACCGTTTTGGCGTGCATTCTTCGGAATGGAACCTGGTAAAATAAGTGCCATTTTATGGCAAGCAATTATGAAATATCGCTTAATGGAAAGTACCATCGATAAATTGCACAGGTCAGCATTTCATTTATAATTGATTTAAAATAAAGAAAAGAAATTTATATTGGAAAATAATACTGAATACTAAATATGATAAAGTATTAGTTAAAAAAGCATTACAAGGATGTAATCAAAATATATGTATATACCTAAATAATAAATGATTTATTAGTACTTAATAGCGTAACAAATGACCAAAGTGTATTCCAAAAAACAATACCGAACTATCAAATATGATAAGTGACAGAAAAAAAGCATTATAGAAGTAATAAACTTCAGAAATCAAGTATAAAAAGTTTAACTAGAAAAAATTAGTCTAGAATGAAATTTTTGTTTTCTTCCAAATTTTTTTTTTTTTGAAATTTTAAGTAATAAAATTAATTTACAATTTAAATTTTATTAATTGACATTTTTTTAAGATTAGCTATGGAAGTTGAAGTTGTTAATAATTCATGCATAATACAGCATGCAAATATGATGACAACTTGTTCATCACTTTGTATTCCAATGAAAAAAGAAATAAACGATTACTGCAGTGATGATTGCAAGCATGTAATGTATGAATGTTTGCATGAAAGTGCAAGTGATTGGGATAGTTTTATACCAATTTTGCAAAAATTGACTGTCAATTTCGACAAAGGTTTCGCTGAGGTATATTTCAAATAAATTTGGCATTTAATTTATAGCTCTTTCTCAATTTAATTATTATTTGCTAATTATTTGTTTATTTTTACATGAGTCAACAAGTCAATTTTTTTTTGCTTATTTGCTTGCATCATTTGTTTATTTATTTGTTTGTGCTAACTTATTAGTCATTTTGAATATTTATGTTATAAATATTATGTTATAAATAATATTCTATGTTATAAATAATATTTTTGACCGTATATTTTAATCATAATAAATGAAAAAGCTTCCAAAAAGCCATAAAATAAAAAAAAAAATTATTTGCATGATAACATCTTTTAAAGATTTTTTTTTCAAATTATTTGATAGATTGTGTATCTATAATTGCAAAAGTTGTTAATTTCGATTAGTAATAATTATTGTCATCATCATAGCAAATGTTTGTTTTTTTCCTTATCGTGATACTAATTGTATCTATTTATTATATCCATTTTAGATTACTTCTTTTTTCCTAAGATAATTAGTACAAAAAAGCACATTTTAATTAGGTAATTTTATTTCAAATAAAATGAAGCATTTAATTAATCACTAGTCAAAGTATGACTTTCAATATTCTTATTACTATTTATGCTTAATTTTAATTGTTAGAATTTTCTTTTGAATTCTTTTGAATCAATATAATCAATACTCTTACATGATGCAAACAATTAAAAGTTTAGCAAAACGTCAAAATATCAATTGAGATAATTAGGTCGAATAAAAGCACATTTTAATTGAGTAATTTCATATCAAACAAAATGAATTAATTACTAACCAAATATTTTTTAATTAAAATTTACTAGATAGCATCGAATATCTGTAATTAAAAAAAATCGTTTATTTCGATTAACTAATTATAGTTATTATCATAATAAATGTTTAATTTCTTTTCTAGCTTGAAAAAGGTATCATTCGATCAATTTCATATGCAATGGAAATGAAAGCTCCAGTGATTGCTAAAACAGTACTAAAGAAATGTGGTCGAATTAATTTTGCTAAAACACCAGATACCATTCGACATATTGATTATCACAAGCCGGATCCTGTACAGCGACGAGCAGTATTCATGATTCGACAGGTTAGAAAAAAATTGAATGATTGAAATTTAACTTATGCAATTTTAAAATATTTCTATACAAAAAAATTAACTTACCAGGAATAATTTTCAAAATTTTAAGCATTTCTGCTTTTTTATTTGATAACATCGAAAAAAAAAGTTTAAACATATTTTAAAACAAAAAACAAAAAGGAAGAAAAAAACAAGTGTTATGTAGACAGAAAGGAAACAAACGAAAGGCAAATTTTATTAAATTTCAAAATTTAAAAATAAAAGGAAAAAAGAAAAACTTCACATTCCATTTTTCCCTTTGAAAAATATCTTATTACATAGTAAAATATCGTTGTATACAATTTTTCTCTTTTTTTCATTGAAAGTTGAAGAAAAGAGATTTATGTATTGCTAATAGCATAAACAAATGTTATGTAAATAGAACAAGGGAAAAAAGAAAGTGAGAGCGAGAGAGAGAAAGGAAAAGTGGTAATGTAAGTATTACACTAATAAAGCACTTAAAGTTTTAAGCCAATTTCGAAGTACAAATATTATTTTACAAGCTTTTGAAATTTCCATAATAATAGTTTATTTAAAGGAAAAATTAAGAGAAAAAAAAATTCCGGTTTAAATAAAAAGCAATTCTAAATACATAAATTGAGCAGTACTTTTTCTTTCTTTCTTTAATTTCATTTCTTTCAAATTCGAAATAAATTCTATATTTTAAATAAAATGATTATTTATATTTATTTGTTAGCATTACACAAAGAACATTATTTCTGATACAGTAAATTATATAATCACAAAAATTCGAAAATTTTGAGATAAATTAAAAAAAGTATGACTGACACATGTCACAGCAGTGATAACATTACTGTAAAGAATAGTATGTTTGTTAATTATTTCAATTATTAATTTAAATTAAATTTTTATTGTCATAGGATTAAATTTTTAGACAAAAAGAAGAACAATAAGACATTTGAATTGAAATAGAATAATTAAATAGCTAAATTACTATCTGAGCAAACTGTCACTAATCGTAGTGATTGATCTTACTAAGTGATTAATCTAAGCGATGGTAGACAGATGTAGCATAAGTCACAGGAATGCCTAAAACATAATTATATTAAATAATTTAGTTTCACCGATGTTTGTTTTACTTTACACAACGCATGCAATAATTTTTTATTTATTTTTAGAATTTTATTTATTGCTTGAATTTCTTTCTCTGCTCTGAAGAATAGCATTTATGCAATTTATTTTAAACACTAATTTGAATTAATTTTGTATTGATACAAGATCATGGTTTAAACTAAGTGAAAGCGGGAGATTGGAATGAAATAGGATAATTAAATAGTAAACCATTATTCCAGCAGTTTATCACATTCATAGATAACTTTATTACATTTTTAATTATTTCTGGATTTTTTTAATTATTCATTTTTTTCAGACCTTTCTTTCTTTCTTTCCTTCTTTCTCTCTCTCTTCATTGAACCTATTCGCAGATACTGTTCTGAAATCTTTTTAATCATATATGTCAATCAATGATGGCAATTTTATGCTTTCTTTTTGCTTCCACATTCATCACATTAACTGGTTTAATTAAGCTCTCCCCCTCCTCCCCCCCAAAAAAAAAAAAAAAAAAAAAAAAGATGTCGTTAAGGACAATTTATCAAAACGACACATGAAATGAAGCAGAAAACTTTAGGCCATAATCTTTCATATCAAAAAAAGGAAAAAACTGCTATTATCCCTCTCTAAAAATTTTTTATTTGCCGTTAATACATTTTAATTTTCCATTTTTTCTTTTCTTGAAAAATATAATCCAAAGCAGGCAGTGTATAAGAAGAAAATCTTTATAAGCTAACCTCGAGATAATAATCAATCAAATTGGTTGAAATTTTTTGAGAAAAAGTGATAGGAAGTGTTCGAAATTTCCCGAGAAATAAGCATCAATGTGATGATTTGGTAAAATATTTTCAAATTTTACATATGAAAAAATGCGTTATTATATAATACTATTAATCTCTTTAACTCTTTTTCTGATCAAAAAGGAAAGCATTAGACAAAGAAGAATTATCTTATCAGATTTTTGAAAGTTTATTTTCAGTAAATTTTGAAAAATTTTTAATACAAAAGATGAGTTCAGTACGATAATTTTTTCGGTTCATTTATAAATCTTTGGTGATACTCAAACATCACACAGCACTGTTCAAATATAAAACCGTATCACCCAAGCATATACAGTATCACTTAGCCACCATACTGTATCATCCCAGCATGTTATTGTATTGTTCGCATGTAATACTGTATACTAAGTAAAACAGCAAAAGCAAGAAAATTATGATGCTGTAAGCATTATTTGATGCTACGATCGATAATGCAGAAAGTAAGAATTTATTTAAATTGACCGAGGCAAATCTCAAAAATATAGTCACAGAATGCATTACTTTTATCGGGATGGAGACTTGACAAAAGAATTAATCCAAGTTTTTTTATATAGAGTTTAATAGTAACCATAATTAATCCCAGCTTTTATTTTTTTAATATCGAGTTTAGTAGTTCAAAAAGCTAGTTGAGTTGAAAAATAATATTAATAATATTATTGTTTAGATACTTTAATACTAAATTAAAATAATAAAAATACTAATTGATTTCTTTTCTTATTTCACTTTTCAGTTTACGATTTATGTTGGTTGGTGGCGACAACTTGTCAACAATATTTGTAATCATCCATTACGAACACTGGAATGCTGGAACAATACTGTTTCTATTGACGTTAGGTAATTCTTTCTTTTTTTTTCCTTCTCATTCTATTTGTTTATTTTTAATTCACGAAAAAAAAAAAACTTAGTGTAAATTATCTTGCATTTTATATGAATACTTCAGCAAGAAGGTCATATAAGTACTTAAATATCATCAGCAAAATATGCAGATTTTAAATTTACATAACAAATAAGATAAAAATAATTTTCAATAACTATCCCATATGTATAGCAAAATCTGCTTCGAGTTTTTGTTCTTTTTTCTTTTATTTTCCATTAATAGAAATAAAAACTGCGGAAATTTTATTTTCTTCAATCATTAATGATATTAAAAAATAACAACAAATTAAATAAAAAAATCAATTTATATTTATAGTGTTGATTATTTCATTCTTTGCAAAATTGTTTTCCTTTTAAAAGTGCATTTCTTCGAGGTTTACTTTTTAAAGAAATTTGTTAGGTTCTATTTTTGGTGTAATGTTTTGGTGATTAAATTAGAATTTCATATGATGAAATTGAAATTTGATTGAAATGACATTTTGGTATGTAACTTTGGTATAGCATCAATTTTTAATCTTCAAGAAATATTCGTATTTTATTATAGATGACATGTATTCCCGTCTTTTTTTTTCTTTATTAGTACTATGTCTTATTAACTATTTATTTGTTCCGTTTCCGACTTAATAAATATAATTTAAAATTTTAAATAAATTAAATGTTAAGCACCATCTTCCAACTTTTGTATTTGGCACCAAAAATTGACTCAGATGATTTTCTCATCGTTAAGATACATAAGATCGATTGATGGTAATTCAAAGAAAAATTCAATAATAAAAGGATAAAAGGAAAGGTTGTGAAGAGCAGAAGGAAAATAGTTTTTGGAGAAAAGTGCGCTTCTGGTTTAAGAGGTTTTAGAGATGATTAAGCTATATGAATTATTTGATTATAATTTTAAAGAAAAAAAGCTAAAATGAAGAGATGGAGTAGGATGAAGTAGGATAGAAAAGAGTGCACATCATTCAATGAGAGTGAAAAAGGATAAATTTGTTTTTGAAATTTTGCTTCCGACAAAAAAAAATCAAAAATTCGTCACAATTCCGAAGCATAATTCTTTGTAACTTCCTGTAGTTTCATTTGGTGTACAGCTTGTTTATCTTTTCTTTTCTTCTGTTTTATTTTTTGTTTTAGTTAATAAATATTTTGCTTCCTCATTTTTCGTTCAAATAATTGAAAATTTGAATGTTATGAAATTAAATTTCGTGATATGCGTAATGGTAAATGCGGAAAAAGAAGAAAAAAAGCTACAACAGTTTTTATTTCTCCTACACAAATTTGATTTGTAAAAATTGCTTAATAAGACTAAAATTTGAACTTAAATAATCTTTTTTTAATCAAAATTTCAAAATATGCAAATTTAGTTCAAAGAGTTAAAAAAGGAATAAATTCATTTAAAATATTGCAATAGTAAAGTCAATAAATTAATATATGTGATCTACAAACTTTTAAAGTGGTTAGATTATATGGCAATTTTCCTGACAAAAACTCTGGCGAGAAAAATTTAGTTCAAAGTTTTTCAATTCTTATCGTATTTTCATCACTTCTGATAGCAATGCATAGCAATGATAAAGAATCACTGATTTGCAGTAATACTAAAAAGAAGTTAATAATGTAGCAAACACAAAACGATGAAAGAAAATGATGATGAGTTTTTATCATATAAGTTATCATCCAATTGTTTTAAAAATCATTCAAAAAAATATTTTTAACATTTAATTACTATGTGTTCAATATTTAATTACTATATAATCACATGTATTTGGAAAAATATCTTTAATATTTCATAAAAGAAAAAAATCATTTAATAATTATTGAAAGGTTTTCTTTTTTCCTTTTTCTTTTTTTTTTTTTTTTTTTTTGCGCACAAATTACACTGAGGAAGCATATTTTTAATTTTAAATAATTCAAATTTAACTGAAACTTTTTTTAACACTTATCATTTGGTGACAGAAAAATAGGCATAGCGTGAGAGAAAAACAAGCAGAGAGAGGGAGAGAGAGAGGAAGATATAGTAGATAGATAAGAAATGAATTCTCGAATAAAAGTGAACTTGAAAATTTAAGCGAAACGAAGACGAATCATTCATGATTGGAAGGTGATGGTTGCAAGGTGATAGAAGACGGAACTATCTCCGTTCTTTTCTTCTCAATACACATTTTAATTGCCAATGAAATATCTTTTTTCCGTTCATCCATTCCTTTTTCTATCCTTTTCCGAAATTCCGTTTTCCTGTCCTTATACTTTGTTATCATTTTCTCCCGCGGTAGAAATACCTTTCCACTTTTTTTTCTTCATACCAACCATTTACCCTTTCTCCTGCTATTCTTGCTGTTATCACTATCTTTACATTTTTTTTTTTAAACTGATATCATTTCTTTTCTTCTATCATTTCGCTTTTTCTTTTTTGATTATGTTTAATAAATATTTCCCTTTTCCTCTTTTTTTTCGCTTCTAAAAAAAAATTTTTACAGTTAATTTGTTTATAACAATAGTTTTAAACTCAATTTTATTTTATTCAACAAAACATTTTTTGATATAAATTCGTTTTAATTTGATTTAATTTACTTTAAGTTTCCATTCATTTCCTTCAAATGCTCATTCAAAATTTGCTTTTTTTTATTCTCGTATTATATTCAAAATTAATTTGATTTAATTTTTTTCATAAGTAATTTTAACAATATTAATTTATCGACGTATAATTATTAATGATATTTTATTAATATTCATATTTTACCATTTTTATGCTTATTATTAGCAAATTTTTATTATTATTAGCAAAATTTTCATCTTATTATAAAAATATTTTTCATATTCATAGTTCAAAATGAAAAGTCATATTTATATTACTTTGGTATTTTTTTGTTTTCCTTATTTTTTAACTCTATAACATTGCGTTTACTTTAATTCAAAATTTCATGTTGAAGATAAAATTTCCATATTTTTTTTTTTAATGAGTTCATTTTGATATATTTTACAAAAATTATTTTAAAGAAAATTTTTTCAAAAAAAAAAATTGAAAGAAAAAGGATGAATGAAAAGAAAGAAAGGAAGGAAAAATGGAAGGAAGGAAGAAAAAAAGAAAAAGTAAAAAGACATATCCTTTTACAAAATAAATACCTCGTGAAACTTTATAAACCTTTTCCTTTTTTTATTCTTATTAAACAAATAAATTAGATATTCTAACGTGAAAAAAAACTATTCTCTTAATTTATTTCTCATTTCTTATTGTAATGTTCATTATTACTTCCCTTTTTTTAAATTATTACTTTTTGATAATTTATTTCAGAAGATGATAATAGCATAGTATAATCATAAATTCGTAAAAGTTAGATCATAATTGACTTCCTTTTTTCAATTGTATTTTCAAAATTATTTTTTCATATCTATTATCTGATTATTTCTTTTTTTCAATCGATTTGTTGTATTTTCAGTATTCTTCTGCAATAACACTATTTAAAAATGTATTACTGTGATAGTTATAATAGTTTCTAATTTCAGTTTAATCTAAGCAGAGGTGGAAAGCTATCAATTATTTCAAATTTTCTTTTTTCTTTGATTAATGATATTTTAGTGAGAAATTCCATGAGTGATCGAAATTATAAATTAAAATGTTCGCTGGTAAAACTTTTCTATTTCATTTCAATATCATTAGTAGTATTTAATAGTTGTGAAATATTATATCATCTAACAAATTTATCAAATTACCTGAAAATGAAGTTTATATTTAAAAACAAATTTGTACTAAAACATTTTTTTTTTGTTTTTAATTATTAACAAATTCAATAAATCATATTAGCTTTAATTTTTTTAATTTTATTAGTTATGCTTTATTTTATCATGTATTATTCATTTCCTAATTATTTTCATGAATAAGGTTTGATTAATTAGATGATAACAACCTGAATAGTTACATCATTTAAGCAATAGCCAATATTTAATAGCATTGATAATAATTAACTGCACATTCCATTTTATTCAATTACACTTTTTTTTTTTCAATTTAACAATTATAACGCCCATAAAATAATGAATCATTCCATTTTGTTTCAAATACTTTACCAGTTAATTTCTGTAATTTTCTAATCACTTCAAGTTTTCAACTTCCTAAATTTTATGCCATTTTCATTTTTACATTTTTTAGATCATATTTTTTCTTTTCTTTTTTCTTCTTTGTTACTATCATTGTGATCTTTGAATTCATATTGCGACGATAAAATGTTATTTATATAAGGCTTTATTAAGATTTTGTAATATTTATTTATCCTTTTCATAATTATTACTAACATTTCTAATATTTATTTTCTAACTTGTCTAATTTTATCAAATTGTGTTTTTCAAAATTTTATTTTCTGATGAATGATTGAAAATTTGTAAGAATTCTCAATGAATTTGCTTTTATTAAACAACAGATAAATGAATGAAGGGATGGATGTGAAAGAAAAGAAAGAGGGAAGACAATTACCGCCCACTAAGCAGTAACATTTCATCTTCTTAACGTCCCACCAGGTATTGCAGGACATGATTTTCCACTGCGCTCAAATCTAAAACTTAGTAAATCCATAATATTTCATTAAGAATCATTGTTACTGTTATCATTGCTATTATATTATCATAAAGAAGATAATCATGTCATTATCATCATTTAATGACAAAAAGATAATTTATCTTAACGTTAATCGAAGAAATAGATTGGAAGAAAGTATGTAAATGTAAATATTCTTGTAAATTTTCAGTCCTTTACAAGTGGTATAAATGATAAGTTCAAGATAATTTTAATGATTGAGTAAAACAATTGATTTAATCAATATTATTATAGCTTGTCAATTATTGCTGTTATCACCAACATTGTTATAATTCGGGTTACTATACTTACTACTATCGTCATTTTGTTATTTATTATTGTTAATGCTATTATTATTGCTCTTCTTATTACCATTAATTATTACTATTATCGTTATCATTTAT